TGGTGGAGGCCCAGCCTGGGCCACCTGTGCATCCTCAGGTGTGCAGCAAGGGTGGGCTTGAGCTCACACCTCCAATGGCTACACTGTGACCCCCCACCTGTACAGGCTGAGCACCCCTCATCTGAAATCACCGATGCTCCAGAATCTGAAACTTCCCAAGTGCCGACACGGATTAGGGAGGCTCAACCAGTAAAGTCTGTGCCAATAATTCAAAATCTGAAAAATGCCAAAATCTAGCTGAGGAGGTAGCTCGGTGGTAAAGTGCTTGCCTCGCCTGTGTGAGGACCTGGGTTCAATCCCCAGCACCACATAAAAATGAATAAAGATACTGTGTGTTCATTTACAACTAAATAAATATTAAAAATGAAAAAAACAAAAAGAAAAATGCCAAAATCTAAAATATGTCTGGTCCCAAGCACTTCAGGTATGAGATGCCCAACCTGTACTGGGCCCTGACACACCCTAAGATCAAAATGTTGAATCTAATGCATTACAAGATGTGGTATTCCCAGATGCCCAATCGCCCCCCACTCCAGAGCACCCCCACCTCTGGCCTAAAGCAGCCAAGTTCACTGCTTTTCTTCAGTGATTTCTCTCACTTGTACCCTGCTGGGGTGACTCATGCTGGGGCCAATCCTCACTTGAGGCTTGGGGCCTAATCAGTTTGGTGCTTCCTCAAAAGAGGACATGGCCAACTACAGGGAAGCCAAACAGAGCATGAGCTAAGGTTTTGATCAAAGGGTTTTATTCATTTTTTTTTTGGTGGGGGTGAGGTACTGGGGATTGAACTTAGGGGCACTCAACCACTGAGCCACATCCCCAGCCCTACTTTGTATTTTATTTAGAGACAGGGTCTCACTGAGTGGCTTAGTGCCTTCTGCATTTTTGCCAAGGCTGGCTTTGAACTTGCAATCCTCCTGCCTCCACCCCCGGAGCTGCTGAGATTACAGGTGTGTACCACCGTGCCCAGCCAAGGGGTTTTAAAAGAACATATGACAGACTTATCCCTGGCAGGCCTCTCTGACCTGTTCCAGAAAGAGGGATGCTACCACCACACGTCTGGGCACCAGGGGTGAGCTCTGGGTCTGCAGCTTCTCCAGGGACTAGGTGGAGACAGGGGCTGGGGGCCAGGGCAGCCTTGGCAAGGGGGTTAGCCACCAGGTTCTTGCCCTCTACTCCCCATCTAGGGCACTCCTATCTATCTATCTATTGATTGATTGTTTGTTTTGGTTTTTTAGTACCAGGGATTGAAGTCAGGGGCACTCAGCCACTGAGCCACATCCCCAGCCCGATTTTATATTTTATTTAGAGGCAGGGTCTCACTGAGTTGCTTAGCACCTGGCTTTTGCTGAGGCTGGCTTTGAACCTGCAATTATTTGTTTTAAATATTGGGGCTCTGTGGAAGGGTTCACTTTTAGAAAGAGTCTTTGGCCTTAAAAAGATCTAAAACTATTCATCTCAATCCAGGAGCCCAGCCTGGTTGTCAACTATGGCCTGCCACCTGTTTCTATATAATCCACCCACCAAGGAAGATTTTGACTTTTCTAATGGTTGGTAGAAGGGGAAAAAAAAATAATATTTCACGATGTATGAAAATGACATAAACTCAGATTTCCATGATCAAGAGCAGCTGGCCCACAGCTAGCTGGCTGGCCTCCATCTTGACAGTGGGGGGTCCTGCCCTAGAATTGGGGTAACAGAGACGCTCTGCACACTGCAAATGCCAATGTCATGTTAGAATCTGAACCTCCTTCTTGGCCTGCAGAGTCTAAAATATTGACCAGATGACACCTCTCAGCAAAAGTTTGTGCCCCCTGGATCATATCCAGCCTCCACTTTTTATAGTTGTAAAAATGAGGCTCAGAATTCAGGCCCTAGATCCCCACAACAAAGGTTGTGGCAGGGCAGAGGTCTTTTTTGGAGTGTTCTGGGCAAGGCCACCAGAGAGAGAGAGAGAGAAGGAAGGGAACAAAACAGAATGCAAGAGAGGTGACGGTGGCTTCTCTGCCCTGCAGGGACTACCTTCAGGCCCAGGGTACAAAAGTCCTGTGATTATATAAAGAGGGGAAGGGCATCAGGCACCCAGGTACTGCACAAGGCTGAGTGACCTGGGGCCAGTTTTTGATGCTCAACACCTCTGATTTGAGCACCAGGTCTGAGTCACGCCATTCTAAGGATCCTGGCTCTGCTTGTTGTGGGGTTACTCAGTACCCACGTGGCTCTGACTTCCAACCCGCCCTCCTGCCCCTCCCAGGGCAGAACCTTCTCTCCTGGCCTCACCTGGTCATAGTGGTATGTGGATGTTCCCGGGTGTGAACTGGGGGAGTTTGCCTGTCAAAGGGAGTCTTCAACATAAAGTTGGCAAACGAAACCCTGGCATCCCTGGGGCTAATGTGCTCTGTACCCCTCCCAGAGCAGGGGGTTGGGCCCAGCAGAAAGTGCCCGGGGCCTGCTGGCAGGTCTGGCTCGGTGAGGGGTACTTACTCAGCGGACTTCCAGAAGTGTCCAGGGTGGGAGAGCCTGCGGTTCAGCTTGGGCAGCTTCTCCAGCATGTCCATCAGCAGGCTGAAGCTGGGTCTCTCCTGCAGGTCGAATGCCCAGCAGGCAGACAGGATCTCCTGCAAACGGAGCTGCCCTCAGTGCTGTGGGAGTTGGTGGGAGTGGAGGGGGCGTGGCCAGGGCCCTCCACCAAGGGACCCTCCAATGCTCTCAAGCACCCAGCTGGTATCCTCCCGCCCCCAGCACCCTGTGACATGGAGTGCTGAGAAATAACCGTATTTCAGAAGAGCTCTTAAGCTTCCAGTTTAAAATGAAATGCATGAACTTGCCAGCTCCCTCCTCCCTTCTTAGACCCCCCCACTCCTGAAATAACAGGGGAACAGAGGGATGGTGGGAAAGAGAAGTGGCAGGGTCAGGGGCTGGTTCTTGGAAGATGGAAACTGGAAGGCACAGCGCTCACAGGTGACACGCGAGGTGCTCGGAATTTTGTGCAGGGTGGGCTGCAATGGAGACAACCGAGGCAGGGGCCTCGGCGTCCCCAAGAAGGCCTAATACACATGTGGCAGCTGAGAGCCAGCAGAGGAAAGCCCTTCTCACTGTGGCATTTGGATCCATGCATGCGCACAGCACACCCACAGCCTTGTGATTTAGGAGATGCCCCCGTGGGACAACAGGCCCACACAAGTGCAGGACACAGACACTCAACATAGCAACACAGGCTGTCAGCACCGCAGGAGTGTGATCCAAAACACAGCAGACCCCATGGGATGCTTCCAGAGAAAGACCAGAGACAATCAGAACAAAACCCTGCCGTCCAGAAGTGTACGTGTAAGGAAGGTCCTCTACCCATTTACAAATATCAGGAAGAAAAGAAGTTCACAGAATTAGCCAAAGGGGAAGGAAGGGAAGGGAGGGGGATGGGAATGGGAAAGACGGTGGAATGACCTGGACATCACTTTCTTGTGTTCATTTATGAACACACGACCAGTGAAACTCCACATCACGGACAACCACAAGATGGGATTCTAATTAGAATAAGTCCTACTCCACGTATGTATCCTCTGTCAAAATGCACGCTACTGTCATGCATATCTTAACAAGAACAACAACTAAAACGATTAGGGTATAATAAAAATAAAAGTGCTTAAAAGCAAAAACATCATTTTTGAACCCCAACAGGAGCAGTGTTAGAAAATCAAAAGCAAGGAAATTCCCCAAGCTGTGGACACTTTTAGATAGGAAGGGACCAAAAGTATGAAAGGACAGAGACTCATTGAGAAGGACCGAATTCCACCCAATGGGAATTTCCACCAGAGAAAACAAGCAATAGGGCAGGAAGTTATCAAAGAAAAACATAAAATTTCCCAGAAACATTCAAAGCAAACAGGAATCTTCAGCTGAAAAGGCCCAACAGAAAAATCTCCCTTAAAAAAATTTTATGAAATGTTTCAATAGCAAGGATAAACAAAAGCTCCTAGATGCTTCTGGAAAGAACAAGACACAGCATCTCTAAAAGGTTGAGAATCAGCCCAACAGCAGATTTCTCAATAACGCACTGGGTGTGAGTGGACAGCAGAGCCAAACATTTGGGTTCTGAGGGAAAATGATTGTGAACCTAGAATTCTCCTCATGGCGTGCAGAGAAAATAAGGACTTTTTTTAGCACGCAAGGATTTAAAGATGTGGCAGAGTCTTTCGGTTTCACTCTCATTTTGCTGGAGGAAAAATAAAGGAGGAAAGTTATGAGCGATGAAGAATCATGCAAGTGACCCAGGAATGAATCACAAACAACAACAACAACAAACTCAGAAGGACCATGGCACTGCAGCAAGCCTGAAATCCCATCGATTTAAATCATCAGAAACAATCATCAGAAAAGTATGGGACAGGGATGGGAGGGAAGGGAGGGGGCAGGAGGTTAGAAATGATGGTGGAATGTGATGGACATTATTATCCAAAGTACATGTATGAAGACACGAATGGGTGTGAGTATACTTTGTGTTCAACCAGATATATGAAAAATTGTGCTCTGTATGTATAGTAAGAATTGCAATGCATTCTGCTGTCATATATAAATTTAAAAAAATTAATTAAAAAAAGAGAAGTATGGTACAGAGGCCATTCAATAAACAATAAAGGCAGAAGGAATACAAAGACCTTAGGAGCCGGGCATGGTGGCACACACCAGTTAATCCCAGTGGATGGGGAGGCTGAGGCAGGAGGATCGCGAGTTCAAATCCAGCCTCAGCAAAAATGAGGTACTGAGCAACTCACTGAGACCCTGCCTCTAAATCAAATACAAAATAGGGCTGGGGATGTGGCTCAGTGGCCGAATGCCCTTGAGTTCAATCCCTGGTACCCTGCCCCTTAAAATGAAACCCCTCAGGAATATGGTAAAACTGTCTGTTCTTTCAACAAGAAAAAAAGAAGCTGGGCCCGGTGGTGCCTGTAGTCTCAGTTACTCAGGAGGCCAAGGCAGGAGGATCCCAGGAGTTTGAGGTCAGCCTGGACTACACAGGGAATCCTCACTGGGGAGAGTAAAAAAGCAATTAGAATCTACAGGAGGGGCTGGGGTTGTGGCTCTGTGGTAGAGAGCTTGCCTAGTACATGTGAAGCACTGAGTTTGGTCCTCAGCACCATATAACAAAAATAAAGGTATTTTGTCAATCTTCAACTACAAAAAAGAAAAAAGAGGGGCTGGGGCTGTAGCTCAGTGGCAGAGCATTTGCATCTTCAACACCACATAAAAATAAACAAATAAAATAAAGGCATTTTCTGTCCATTTGCAACTACAAAAAAAAAAAAAAACTTAAAAAAAAAAAAAGAAACTTCAGGAAAAACCTAAAATTTCACAGGAAAGTCATGGTCCAAAGGTGAAGCCAATAAAATTGGGAGCCTTTGAGAATCGATGGAGCGTAAGAGCTAGGCCCATAAAGAAGAAAATGTAATCCCAATGTGCCACCCACCTGGCTTTAATTCCCCACTTTTTTTTTTTTTTTGGTACTGAGCCTTGAACCCAGGTGGACTCTACCACTGAGCTACAGTCTCAGTCCTTTTAATTTTTTATTTTGGGACAAGATCTTGCTAAATTGCTAAGCTTGGTCTGGAACTTGCAATCCTCCTTTCTCAGCCTCTGGAATAGCTGGGAACACAGGCATGTGCCACTGCACCTGGCTTCAATCTATATTCTTAAAAAGCTTCTACACTCTGGTCTAAAAGAAATCCTTCCAATTAGTCCAGGCATCTGAAGATGCTCATTTAAAATGACATTACATTTGATCTACTTTGTTCTACTGGAGTGTCTGTCATCAGATTCAAGTGCAAAATATTTGGACAGGATCGCTTCTCCGGGAAGGACCCTGGCTGCTCACCAACAGTACCAATCCCTCATCACTGAAAGAAAGCCTTCCGATTAGTTCAGGTCACTGGCTATGCTACAGAATCATCTGAGGAGCTTTTCTAAAAAATAAAAATAAATTAACTATGACTTTAGTCTCATCCCAGGCTGATTAAATCCGTATTCCTGTGGGGGAGGCCCTGACCCTGGTGTATTTACAAAGCTGCCAGATGATTCTGACTTGTAGCTGAGCCCTGCCTCTCCTACGGCCCCCATCCAGCTCTGACGCTCTGCTCCAAGGTGCTAAGTGTGCAGAAGGGGAACCCAGGTGGTCGCCAGGAGAACTTGATAAAAATTTTTTTTTTCCCCCAGATATAACATTCACACACTCTGGTTTACCCAAAGACGTCCTTCTGAATATTACCATAAAGGTCAAATTAGAAATAACCTCGACAGGCAGTGACATGGTGGTTCAGCCAGAGGCCACACAGACAATAGGATTTGCTAATGATTTGAGATAATGAGCAAAATAAAATGTCATGTGGAAGAGACGTTGTGAACTGACAGCAGCTGCTCTGGCTGCCATCTGAGCTGCCCCAGAGCCCAGGCAGGAGGCTGCAGGCACTCCCAGGAGCCCAGCCCCATGTCCAGAGTCCACCACGACCTTCCTGAGGTGCCCAAGGACACCTCCTGGGGAAGGCAGCCTCTGACTGACTCAGGCCTAGAGCAAGGCCTAGAGGATACTCCAGGGGTGGGGAGGTGCTTGTCACCTAGCCTGCCCAGCACCTGAGCTGCAGGGGTATCCAGGGGCCAAAGCCTGGTGTTGGAGCTGTGCATGAGCATTTGATGTCCTTCTTGGGGGAGCGTATCTGTACTTAAACCAGATGACAGGCATTTCTGTGAAACCAAGTGAATCTACCAAATTGCCATTTTAAATGAGCCCTCTGAGGATGCCCTAGCTGCTCGCTACCAGTCCATAAAGGAATCTACTGAGATCTAGCAGGTCTTGGAGGAAGATGAGGCTGATGCCTGCAAACCCAGCAGCTTGGGAGGCTGAGGCAGGAGGATTGAGGGTTCAAAGCCAGCCTCAGCAAAATCGAGGTGCTGAGCAACTCAGTGGGACCCTGTCTCTAAATAAATTACGAAATAGGGCTGGGGATGTGGCTCAGTGGCCGAGTGTCCCTGAGTTCAATCCCTGGTACTCTGAAAAAAAAAAAAAATAGATGAGGCTGAATTCATCCTCTGTCTAGAGTTTGCAGGTGATGATCCTGCCTACATGGCTCACGACTTTAGAAACTCACAGCCTCCAGAGGTCTAAACCTGGATGCTGTTTCCACTGCTCTGCTGCCCAGATACGTGAGGGAGTTACTAATGACAGAGCTGTGTCGTCCCCTCTGGTGCATGAACATGGACATGTGCTTATCCCTGATCACACCAACAGTGCCGAGGCCAGGAGTTTACAGATTGTGCTGTGACTGGGAGACTTACAAGTGGAAGGAAACCATTCAAGAAAATCCGTTCAAAAATGAGAATTCAGCAACTATGAAATTCAGCATTGTGAGAACAAGTTTGTCATGGGAACTTGGATTTGTTCTTGAGCAGTCAAGAAAAACATTAGGTGTTGGTGGGCCTGACTCTGGACCCTCCTGGAGGAAGGCTTATCTTGCTCATGGTGCAGCAGGGATGTCCTAACATAGAATGCAATGTTTGGAGACAAAGTGCTGTCAGAACACTAGCAAGAGCAATTTCCTTGCTCCTTTGACAGGAAGTTAGTCCCCTGTTGGTACACGGCCAGACTGCGTGGCAGCTTCTGAACCTTTGGTGTCTGGACTCCCGTAACATGATATGTTGTGTATCACCTCTGGCCTATCGTGACTGTCATATGTAAACTGGCACATACCCACAATAAAAGCTATTTTTTGCCGCGCAATAAAGCAGATGCAGTTCTCTGAAATGGTCTCTAGAGGGGTTTCTCCGTGCCCCCAAGCTCCCCACAGCCAATACTGGAAGAGCCAGCCCCTCAACAATTATGGAGAAAGGTCTGAAGCCAAAGCTTATCCCCACTATTTGAATTTTCAGTGGTGATTTTAAAATTTTTCTTTCATATAAGTATTATATAAGAATTTACTCTCTTCTCATCTCACCAATAATTAAAAACTTTATCTTTGGAAAGAAAAAAAAACAAAACAGAAAGACTGGGGCTGGGCACCGTGATGCACACCTATAATCCCAGTGACTCAGGAGGCTGAGGCAGGAGGATCACAAGTTGGAGGCCCTAAGCAACTTAGCAAGACTATATCTTCACCCACCCTCCGAAAAAAGACTGGAAGGAAATGAAGACAAAAGTTAACGTGGGGTGATACAGGACGGGTTTTATTTTTTCTTTAGACTTCCCTGCTTTCCCTCATTTTCAATAAGCGAGTATTGTTTTTAGTGTCTAATTTGACACCTCAGGTGGCAGAGCTGAGACCACTGAGGAGTGGTCTCTTCCCTGATGGCTGAAGGAGGGGCAGCCAGGTCATACCCCCCCAGTCCAACCTCCAGCCCTGCGTCCCTCTGGGTGGCTACTCACGGTGACTTCCTTCCCCAGGCTGACGGAGGCCAGGATTCTCTTCATGCCTTCCCCGCTTCCGATCTGCCAGATCAAGGCCTCTGCGGGCTGGTGCTTAAAGGGCCAGTCTCTTGCTTGTAGTTCATACCAGACAGTCCTGTGGGGTCGCCATAGGTGAGCTCCTGCCTGGGGCTCCGTGGCCAGAGACCTGGCTGCCACAGAGCCAGGAGCCAAGCCTGAGGACCAGCACCCTTCTTCAGCCCTCCTCCTCTCCAGGCTTTGGGTGATAGTGTGATGACATCCCTGAGGCCCCTCCCAGCCTGCTGCGATGGGGGTGAGAGGCCCAAGGCAGTGCAGGACAGATGAGGTCACTCGGCCCAAGTAGGAGCCCAGCTTCGCCACTCTCTACTGAGAGATCCTGGCACACAGCTGCCCAACCAGAGGGGCGGATGCCTGGGTCATGAGGATGTTGAAGTAGTAACAAAATACCACGCCCAGCTCAGGGGCACATCATGTTTAGGCAATGACAGTTCAAGGTCAGGGAGGAGAGTTGGCCCTCACGGACCCCCGTGGGAAAGACACCCCCAGAGAGTGCAGAGTGGCTGGGGGTGAGCCTTCCTCGGCCTCTTCAAATCCCCTTAGC